ATGTTTTTAAGAATCTCATAGTCTGATCTCACATCTCCCTTTACAGATGGGAGAAGACTAATTCCAAATAACTTTGGATAAGTGTTCATTGGATGCTCACTTTAATAATTCATGGAAAGATGAAATGAGTCAAGAGATTAACATTATATTGATCAAGCATGATTAAATTCAATTGGGAAAAAGTCAATTTGTGGCAGTACTCTGTATTGCTATTTTGGGGGGGGGTGGAACTTAACATAGTGCTTCTTTAGAAAAACTGTTCTGGGAAAAACTTACATCATGAGAATATTTATTTTTAAAATCCTATTTGATGCACCAGTGCCCCCCTTCAACTTACCGCATCTTTTACATTAGTGAATAATCTCAGAAAACTGAGGTTACTGAGTTAAATGATATCTCAGAACTTGACTGAACCCAGATTAATCATATTTAGCAAAGCAATAGGAATTAAATTATTCATAATAGATTAATTTTAATATATTTATTATGTTTATTTCTATAACCATTTTTAAAATAATATTGTGTATCATAGCATCACTGTAAAACTAAGCCAATTTAGAGAAAGAGTAATGTAGAACAGTTTTTCAGTGATGCTATCATATAAAATTAGTTTAAAAATATGTTTAAATAATCCTGTAAGTAATCTGAGCCAGTCAATATGTATATTTTCACACAATATTTGTGAGGATTGTCCTAACTTTTTGTAGATTTTGACAAGCAAAAAAAGCTCATGGAATTAAAAGAATATTGGTAGTCAGGCAACCAATGAGGCAAAAAAGACATTGTGATGTCACAATGAAATGTAAACCTGTCAAGATTGCCTCATCACTACTACTAGTATGAATTATCTAGTTCGTGTGTATGTAATTCAAAGAAAGGAAACTCATTAGTCAACTGGGAACTATAGGACAAATATGGAGATATGTTGATTTTAATTTACATGATTGAAGAATCATGGAAAGTGTAAGTTTTTAAATTTTAATTTTATACTGTAAAAAAAAAAGAAATCTGTCCACTTGCTGATCTTGAACAGTAGCTTATTTAATATTTGGACATTCAGATTACATGAAAATACTTCCTTATAATCTATAACTTGTATTTTAAAAATATCTTATATTTAAACTATATGGGTTTCTACTACAGTACTTTTAAGCAATTTTGCCTGAATCAGTTAATGTGAGAATTCTTATTATAAGATATTCTTATCTAAGCATGATTTGTAAACAGATTTGTTGAGAATACAGCAGATTTTATTAGAATTATCATATTACAGTGCAAGCGTTTTCATCAGTTTCAGAAACAATTCTAGCTATAATTAATAGAGAACATAAGAAGACACTCATTCTGTTTCTCACTTCTGATGAGTGCTAGTTGGGTTGCAATCAGATTATAAAGTAGGAATAGAGGTTTTGATGATTCCAAGATCAATATAATCTCTCCTTAAACTCAGTATACCGGAACACTGATTTCCCATGCTTGATTTGTCATGGAGAGCAGAACAAGCAATATTTTTGCTCACTTATTTAAGAAGGTGGGTGAAGAGTAGAAGTTCCCAGGAGAAACATACTGAGAATGTTTTCAACAGGGTAAACATGTTAGATGGTTGCAGCAAAACCAATAGAATCTTGTAACATTTAAGCTCTAAGCTAGGATAAAAGTAAAAAATAAAAAAATAAAATTTTAATTAGTAAGATAGGACCAGTAAAGAATCATGCAAACTATTGTGATCAATGTTTTGCTCAGCTTTGGATTGATTAAAGGTTGCTTTTTCTCACCATTCCTAGTTCAGGCAATCATGACATTGGTCTTGTCAATAAATATTGGGAGATGAAAAAGATTAAGTTTGTATAATTATTCCTATTGCTATGTTACTGCACTGCTGGTATTGCAGTAAGAAAAGTTACTGATGTTTTTTTTCAGCATGGGAGTCAACACAATATGCATCCTTCTGACTACTGTTCTCCAAATGCTAGAACTTTTATATTATATGGGACAATAACAAAAAGCACCAACTTTTTTAGAATGTTAAGAACTTGATGAATGTTGGACAGAAGAAAAAATATTTCATAGATTTATTCCATATGATCCACAGCTTTTGATGTAGAATAGGGCCTAGAAGACCCTTTTTATAATGCCTATTCAGCTCAGCAACAATAAGGGCAGGCTTTGTTTTGTTTCCTTTGTTTACCTTTATTAGTCAACATGGCTTTATTAATGTATAAAATCCTTCTAATTTAAGTGATGCATTCTATCTAATAATACCTCTTAAGAAAATTAACCTGGAGATAAAACCAACTGGAATATTAGCAGCAATATAACCAATATTTATCTTTATCTACTGAGATGTATTCTTCTAGTTCAGCCATTTTGTGAGCTTTGGAAGAATAAAATTAGAGAAATCATTTTATATTTTACTGGTTATCAGAATATCTATATCAGTTCTGTGATTTTTCCTGTCCGGCCAATATATATTTGTGAATTAAATAGAATTCCCATTAATATTTTTGGCAAAGGATTATGGCTTATATATTTTTCTTTTTTAAAAAAACAAATACAATTAAAGATATAAATGCCATTTTAATAATGGAATTATCTTTTTTGTAATTTGCTTTTGATATATTGTGACTACAGATATGTGGACTATAGATCTCCAGCGTTTCAGCCATGTTGACTAGATGCTGTATCCCAACACACTGGGGTCACAGGGTTGATTCTGATTGGACTCCTTTGATTAATTTAAATATTTCTGTGCCCATCCTAATAAATCCCCCTTCCCTCTCCTCTTTCTCATATTTCATTAGAACTGGAAAGATTACCCCAGTTTTGGAAGCTGTTGTTTGTAGTGGATTTCTTTTTCAAGAAAAGAGAAATGCAGACTTCTATGGAGTTGATCCCTTTGGATCAGAGCCATGGCAGCATGGAGCTTAAAAAATGGTTATCTATTGCCTTTGATTATTCAAATCTTTCCCACCTCTGCTTCTCTACCCAGTACAAGTCCTTGAACGCTGACAGTAGGGCTCTAATTTGAAGTTCCCTGCTGAGACACATCTTTGCTCTTACATTCAAGAGCTCTTTCTGATTCAAAGCAGCATAAGGGCAGAATAGTCACATAGCAAGCCTTAGCTTTACAAATTCATGAATTTCAGAGTTGAAATTTGATTTGTGAATACAAAAGAACCTTTATTTAAATTGAAACTATTTAAATAGTCAAAAGAATGTTCTTTTCATTTAGTGAGTTTATTATTTCAGATTGCCCCAATGTCAGTGGAGTACACAAATGAATATTTGCCCATCAATCCCTGGAGGTAAAAAGGTTCCTTGAGTGTGGGGAAGGCTAAATTTTCTGGCTGTGAAATGATCAAGCATCATATGAAATAATACTTTCTTATTTTGATTGTACCTCAGGGCTACCATGTCTGGACTGTAAAAATCCAGACAATCACAAGATGGCAGCAACTGGAAGGTTCTGAAACTATTGCCATCTGGTGGTCCTCAGGATTTCTGTAGCCCAAATCTGGTAGTTCATACTCTCTGATCCTTTGTGACCTCTATCAGAATGCCATACATTTGTTGAACTCAGATTTTCTGTATATCTGATAATCTCCTGACTGCTGCTTTTTTCCACAGCTGAGGAGCAGTAATCTATCCTTACTTACCTCTCTAAATCACAGCCTCACTGTACCGGGTCATTCTGAGCCTTTAATTCCCTTTTAGAGCAGACTAGAGTATAAAGTAAACAAAGACAAATTTGCAGCCTTCAACATTGCTAATTTGCTCTGATGTCAGAATATTTAAATAAATGGGAATTATTTGATCCAGCACTTGGGGAAATGGGTGAGGCTAGGAAGCTTCTGAAAAAATGACAGCTTTTCCAAGAGATACTTGCTGACGCTTTCCTTTTTCATCAACTGCATCCTCATTTTTTAAACCTCTTTGGTTACTAGAATAGGGCCTTTCCACTAGATTTTATTCCCCCTGTAAAGTCTTATAATAGCTTTTCTCAGAGCAATTCTGTGTCTTCTATGTCTTTTCATTTCTGATTCTGTAGAACACCAGGCAGCCCTGCCTTTTGTTCCAGTTCATTGGGCTGAATTTAAAATAATGCCTTCTGCTTAACATAAAGTCCAACCGTTGCTGTCTTTTTGCCCTGTCCTGTGTTCTTTGTCAGCCCAGTATTCTCTACTGAGACCAGGAACATCTTCAGTGCCCCTTAATTTTATGCTTTGCAAACAGCCTTTCCTTGGGGATTGCACCTCAAAATCAGTGTGACTTTACTAGCGGTTTATATTTTGTGAACAAATAAATTATTCAGGCTGGCAGTAGAAATGAGAATCTAACACACGCTCCCACACATTGTCAGGAAAGCACTTTTGACAAGTAATGATGTTAGATCTGCTGCCTGTCAAAGATACACTCTTACAAGATGACTTAAAATGCCTGTAATCCCCCCTCCCACTGTTCCCCCTCCCCTTCCCCCTCAGCAAGATTATTTCAGCCATTCCTTCTCTGCATTCAACATGAGAAGGGAAGGTATAAAATAACTGTAAAATATTGGGCACAAGGTTGTGTTTTTTTTTCCAGGTATTGGCTGTATTTATTTGTTTGCACAAAAATAGACATCAAAGGAGCTGAACGGCCAAGTAGGTCTATTCATCTTTACTGTGCAACAGAGATTAAAATGATCCACAAACAGTTTTCACGGGCTTTTTTTAAATGATATTTTTCTTTGGTGATACATTTTGACCATGCTCGTATGGATAGAACTAAGTGTGAGTTAACCTGCTGGCAACTTGCTTTAAAAAAAGAGGGAAATCACTGGGGTTTATCAGTTGTTCACACTTGCTCAATAATACATACTGGTAATGGATTGTTCTTCTGAGGATTTCACTAGAGAGGGTTGGATTCTTGTGATTGCAGTATTTGATTATTGGTGTTTGTTCTCCCCCCCCTTTCTCCTCCCCTCTCCTCCCCTTCCCTCCACGTCCCCTTTCTCTCTCCAGCTGGTGTAAATGACTGCTGTGGCCTCAAAGACCAAGAGAACCTGCCCAGTCAGCTGAAGCCCCCTGTGGACAGCTGTCTCTCCCTTGCTCTCAGTTGATGGAAACTGCTAGTAGCCACTGAATGGGGGAGAGTGAAGTAAAACCACAGGACCAGCAGCTGCAGCTCCAGCGGTGGTGGTGGTGGCGGCAGCAGCAGCAGCAGCAGCAGCAAGCAAGAGCTCTATTGTTCCCAAGTCTTAAACAGTTTTCTTCCTTTCCAACTGAAATGCACAATAGCTGGAAAGCCATTTCCAGTCTCCCTGCCCTGTGAAGAAATCTTGTGACTGGAGGAGGGGTGGGTGGGAGAAACCCTTCAGGCAAGGGGTTCTCCATTGTGCTGCTGGTTTGAAGAGTGAGCAGGCTCCTGGAAGACATGGAGATGGCAGAGCAGTATGTGGCTTTCCTTGGTGGTGTGGTGGTCTCAGCTCACCCAAGCAAGTGCCTGGAGATCCTTGCACTTCTCTGGTTTGCGATCTGGGTCGCTACGGCACAAAGTGAATTGGAAACTTCGGTGTATTTGTGGAAGACAGGTAAGTAAATCAAGGAAGTGTGTGCGTGTGCGGTCCTTTGGCTTATTCCTGAGGGTACCGGCTTATGCATGTCTCCTAGAAGGATAACGGGTTGCTTAAAGATCTGTTGTTTCCATAATCTTATAGAAAGAGAGGGACTGTGGGATGTTTGAGAAGCAAGGAGAAAATGGGATCATAGCCTACAATTGTGGGCATCTTAAGAGGAGCCAGGAAAATTGCATGCATGTGAGATGTGATTTGAAGTCTTTGTATTTTAGGAGTTGTGGATTCTTTAAAGTTAGGTGGGTGGGATGGGGTATAGCATGTGCAGAAACTCATGATGGATTGAAAAAAATAATCCCTAGAGCTGCCCACATTTCATAACTGAAAAATGTTCATGGCAAAAATAAGCTAAGTGGATTTAATATCAAACCAGGCAGATAATTTTTCTGGATTAATAGTGTGTCTGATTTCTTTTCTGGTTCTCAACTTTTTAATAAAAATCAGTGCTTATTTTACATATGAATCTCCTGCATGAATGTGTAACCTTTTAAATGGCAGCAAATGATAATGTATTTCTTAAAATCATATAAACTACTTTGTGTCTCAAGACACACCAGCTGAGTGCAGACCTTAACATTCAAAAAGATCAGCAGACTTGCAAAAAAAAAAAAAAATCAGCTAGTGTCTCCTAGAGTGCAAAAAAATAAAAATAAATCCACGAACAAACTGAAACAGTGGTACTCTTTCAGAAGATCTGTTCTTGAAATTTAGCAACAGCAGCAAAAATAGCCATATATTGCGATTTTAATCCTTTGCCTGCTTACTGAAAAGAAAAAAACAATGCATTTTGAAAGACTTATTCGCAATAGAGCTATGCTATTTGAAATGATGCAAAGGTTTGCTGAAATGTTTACAGTATGTGTGTACCTGTGTATCTTGCTATTTGAGGGACAAAGAAACAGAGTGAAATATACAGTTATAACAATGTCTTGCATTTTAATGGTTACATCTATCCAGCTGTTCAAAGAAGAAAATGAAGATGATTCTGCTTCAATAGAAGTCAGGCTTTTCCAGTAAGACATTTGAAAAGGGGTGGGTGGAAATGTATTGTATTTTTTGGGGGGGGAGAGGGGTTTAGATTTTAAAAGATCAATGGTCTAATGACTACAGTATAGATATAAAAGTGACCTTACTTTATTTTCATTTATTGCACTATTGATTAATCTAAGAGAATGTCCACTGTCCATCAAAGTCAGGCATCGTAGGTTAACCATAAAGTATATATAGCTAGTTATATCTACTTTTGTAGAGTTCCAAAGCCATACTACTAACACCTGTGAATTTTAAAGGAGTATTGATCCTTTGCCTGCACCACAACTGTGTTCTGTTCTTGCCTTTCTTTACTAATTGTTTAAAAATTCAGTGGCTGATATTAAATACAATAAATTGACAAATATTGGTTATCATTATACCATAGTTAAGTTTATTCCAGTGATAATTGTTATCCACATTGCAATATCTCATGAAATAAGTCAAGTATATTGCAGTATATATTTTGCTTCCTTAGAGAGTGAGGAAACATTTGGGGATAGAAAGTAATTAATATTTCAATTATAAATCCCTATTTCTGTTCTGTACAACTTTTGTAAATTATACTGTTGAAATTTGCAGATTTTCCTACTGTTCCCTGCTCCCTTTATGGATTTTTATAAAATCTTCCTTGTATGCATTTCCATGTTTTGATTATTCAATCTGCATAGTTCTGCTCTGTCAATTGTTAGAAGATTGATCTTTGAGATTTTATGAAAATGAAGCACCAAAGCTTATATTCATACCAGGACACTGAACATCTATATAGATAGTCCTCAGCTTATAGCTATTTGTTCAGTGACTGTTCGAAGTTATGTTGGTGCTGGAAAAAAGGACTTAAAATCTGTGTCCGAAGTTATGGCTATTGTGGTGTCTACATGGTCATGTCATCAAAATTTGAGCACTTAGCTGCACACCCATACTTATGACAACAGGAGCACTTTAATTTCCCCCATCCACCTATCTTCCTTCCATCTATGCTATTTTGGGCACCTCGTACCCTATCTTGTGGGGTAGCAAGCAGCCCACGAATTGCATGAGTCCAGATCTGCTTGCAACACTTAGGAAGCCTCAGCTGCCACCACCCACCTCACAAGCATTTGTTTGCCCAGTTGCCTTCTCTCCCTATTCCTACACTTTTTTTTTTTTTTTGCTTTCTGTGCCCAGCTACTGCAGCTGAAACAGAAATGCCTCACTACCTTGGCTGTTTACTTTTTGGACCTGAGGTCACCATCCTACTCTGGGTGCTCCAGATTCTCTGGCTTCCTACAAAGAGTTCCCCAGCCCACCAGGCAGCATACCCACAAAGCCCCAGTAAGTGCCAGCAAGCATTCATTCACCCATCTGCCTTCTCTCCCAATTCCTTGAATCCGTCTTTCATTTTTTGCACCCAATCACCCCAGCAAAAACAGAAGCACTTTTTAGTCTAGCTGTCTTGGATCCAGCTTTTCTAGCATGTTTCCTATACAAGGCTCCCTGAGCCTTTGGAATGCTGCGCTGCCTTTGTAAAGCTGTGCTGCTTTTGGGAAACTTGTGTAAAGATAGTGCAGCTTTAGGAAGATGGTGTAGCATTCTGAAGGATCAGAAAGCCAGATATAAAAAAAACCGGGGTGGGTCAGAATGATTTCTGCTTCAGGCTGGTTCAGAAAGCACTTCTGAGGTACTTCTTTGTGCCTTGGTGGATGGGCACAAAAGGCAAAAAGTTTGTGTAGTTAACTGAGAAAGAAGACAGCTAGGTGAGTAAATGCTACTGGGGACTACTGGATGGGCTAGGATAACTGAGGCTTCCCAGGGGCCTGGCAAGCAGCTCCAGAGCCACACACTTCTTTGACTGCTTGCTGCCCCACAAGGCAAGGTGTGAAGCAGCCAAAAGGAAGAGATAGGGTGATAAGTGAATGGAAAGAGTTGGAGGCTATCCTTTCCTTTACTGAGGCTTAGATTGGAAGTTACTAAACTTGAAATAGCTTAGTTTGGGTTGACCTGCAATTTTCAGATATTGACTGTGATAGGGAATGCTACTGTCATAGGTCCATGGTCACACAATGTCTTACTTTATAATCACATCAACTTATAACAGCAATCCTGTCCCCAGATTGTGGTACTAAGTCAAGGGCTACCTATAACTCTTGCCAAAGTTGGAATGAAAAAAAGTACAAAACTTTCCCCTGCTTGAAATGTTTTATCCACATCTCATTATATAAAGTACATCTAGGTCAACCATGTGAATATTCAATACCTTCCCTTGTTTTATGACTTCAGGATGGTTCATTGTAGCAACATGCTAGGAAAATAGCCAAGAACACAACATGGAACACATGGTATAAATCTAACCTCATCAGGTTAAGCAGAACACTTCAATAATGTAATTTCTTGTGTCAGGCTTCCAAAGTCAGGCTGCCTTGTTTAACTACCATCTTGCTCTAAGCAGCAGCCCACAATTTGAGGCCACCAAAAACTTTGAACATATTCCTCCCCTGATATAGTAATTTTTAATATGGCAGAAGGAAAAAAATAAGCTTGTGGGAAGTGATCATATTAATTTAGATTACACTTTTTTAAAAAAAAATCAAATCTAGTGTTCTTGCAAGCTTCAGATATTACTCTAACCTCTCCTACATGGCAGCCCTTCTTCCTCAGAAAATTGAGTGTTCATGCTTTTAAATAAAGCAAAGTGAAGTATTACAGGATGTGACTGGAAATTATCAGCATTCTAGGTGATAATGCAAGTTATACAATCTAAAAGATGCTTATGTGGTGAAGGTCAAAGACTAGATATCTTGACTGATTTTGGCCTTCCACCCGTACACTAATATTTAATGTTAATATATTCATATATTCAATCTTTGTTTTGGATAAGTATGCGTGAGAATATCTTTCATATGATCTGCTACAAGTTATGTCTAGTTTAACGAAGAGAAGGACAAGGGGGGACATGATAGCAGTATTCCAATATCTCAGGGGCTGCCATAAAGAAGAGGGAATTAAGCTATTCTCCAAAGCACCTGAAGGCAGGACAAGAAGCAATGGGTGGAAACTAATCAAGGAGAGAAGCAACCTAGAACTAAGGAGAAACTTACTGACAGTGAGAACAATTAATCAGTGGAACAGCCTGCCTCCAGAAGCAGTAAATGCTCCAACACTGGAAGTTTTTAAGAAGAGACTGGACAGCCACTTGTCCGAAATGGTGTAGGGTTTCCTGCCCGAGCAGGGGGTTGGACTAGATGACCTCCAAGGTCCCTTCCAACTTTACTACTACTATTATTATTATTATTATATGGATGACTATTGAAAGATTTAAAATAGTTGGGTTTTTTTTCTAAATATGAAATAGATATTACAAATACAAACAGCAATTATTCATCCAGTATAGAGACTGGTAGAGACTTCATGGATCTTTCTAAAATTAAGAGTGGGAAAGGAGCAGTAGGCTATTTTCATTTCCACCTGTAAAATCTCCCCACCAATGGGGGAAAAAACATGATTTAGAATTGTTTTGGCTGATTTGTAGTGAAAAAGATTCAGAGAGATCTTTGTCTACTACTCCCACCCATGACAAATCCAATCCCCTCCCCAAACTCCCAAAACAATGTCCTCCCTTCTGCTGACATCACTAAGCCATAAAAAAAAATATGCCGGGGCATCCAGCTTTTGGGGGAGCAGTTTGTACCTCCAAGCAAACCACTTACTACTCATTCCTGATCTAACAAAATGCTATTTTAAATTGTAAGAAATCAGGAGAGTAACTTATGCTTATGTGGCCATATTGTACATTTTACGTTCCACATTTCATATGTTTGCATCATTGGCAACTCAAGCCTGAGTTGTAGCTAAAGGGGTTTAGCAAGTCAAAATAAAGCTTAGAAATGAAAGAGTTTCCTTGTTTGATTCTATAAACATGTCAGGCCAGCCCCCATCTGATCCCTTGAAGT